GAAGCAAACAGCTGAAGCTCCACAGAGATGGTTTGAAGACAACAAGGTGAAGTTCTGGAGGATCCATCAGTCGTACCAGTTGTGGGTGTTGCAGTGTTTTCGACACGTTCTGCACCGACTCATTTCTGCCACTTATTTGCAGCAGAGATCCAAAATGACTCGAAAATGATCCAAAATGGCAAAACTTGTCCAAAATAACTAAAATCTTCCTCAGAATGGTCCCAAACAACAAAACAAACATCTGAACTGACTTAAATGTGTCCAGAATGGTGTGAAAACCTCCTCAATGGATTAAAATGTGGTCAGAACTTCTGGAAATATGTTGGAACTGACCTGAAACCTGTCCAGAGTTTATCCTCCCAAGTTACAGGAAAGTTACCCAACAACGTGTCCAAGAGGACCATGAGCTCGAATGTGACTTGAGATTCGCCCCAGAAGTGTTTTAACCTCCACAGTTGTTCAGAATGACTCAAGTTCTGCTCAGAACAGCTTCAAAATTGATCTTAATGGGTTAAAAAGAAAAAAAAAGAAAGCTTTAAACAGAACCTTTAATTTGTCCAAAATGACTTAAAACGTAAAAACGGCCTGAAGCGGGTGAGACGTGTCCACAGCTCTGAGTTGTGTTCGATGCTTCAGGTTTCTGTCTTTATGACCTTTAATAACCTCCAGCGTTGAATCGGATCATTCAGGAGCTCGGCTGGAAGAAAAGGCGACGAGCTGCAGAGACGTCTGAATGAATCCGTCACAGAGTCGCTCTCAGGACGAGGAAACGAGCTGCTGGAGACACGAAGTCACGTCTCAGAATGTAAATCAGGCCGCAGCGAGGACGTCTGCTTCGTGTCCACGCTGACAGCCGCACAGGCAGCGGCACCGTTTATGAATGAAAACTGAACTGAACAGAAGATTGTTCAGAACGGAGCGGCTGCTGGACGGCCCGCTCCCCTCTGCAGCGCTGCAGGAGCTGCAGGAGGCTCAGAGAGGCCGAACCGAGCCGAGCAGCCGGCGGCACAAACCGCTGGAATGTTTGCGTACGTTGTAAAGGCCGAGTTACGAGGCCGATAGAAAACACGTCTTGTGCCGATGCGGCGCAGATAAAGAGCCTCCTGTGCTGCTGCTGCTGCTGCTGCAGGATTCATGCGCCCACACGGAGCCGCAGCAGCGTCTGACCCGCGACCTGCAGCGACGCCACGCCTCCGCTCTCCAAGTGACACGCCTCAGACGTCCTGAAGCCCGGATCACGTCAACACGTCTCTGAATGTCTGAAAGCAACACGAGACCTGAACAAACCAAACGCAGAGCGGGAAAAATGAGACACACTGACCACAGCGAGGAGGCGAAACGGTCCCAGAGAGACCAGAAACCACACCGACCGGACAGAAAATGACCCAAAACGAGCAGAACCCAGCAGACAACAGGACCATCAGAGCAAAACGAGAAGAACAAGACATGCTAATGACACAAAGGGACCAAAAATGAGAATAACGAGACACAAAACCCCCAAAATATTCCAAAGTAACTCGAAACAACACAAAACTAGAAAAACCAGACGCAGAATGAGAGAAACGAGACAAAATAACAACGAGGAGACGAAACGGTCCCAAAGAGACCAGAAACCACACCGACGGGACAGAGAATGACCCAAAACCAGCAGAACCTGAAGCAGAACGAGAGAAACACGACACGAAGAGACGAAACTGGACCAAGAACACATAAAACAGACGACGAGACACAAAACGACACAAAAAACTGAAACACACGATGCAAAATCAGACAAAAAGAAAAAACATGAAGGAGAGACCAACATGACAGAAAGAAAGAGAAAAAACTAAAAGCAACTCGAAACGACACAAAACCAGAAAATGAGAAACGAAACAAGAAACACTCAAAATGAGAAAACGAGACACAGAACTGTGAAGCCGTAATGTCTGGACTAGAAGCTGCTACTTTATCCACACGCTCTGAACGCTGAGGCTTAAACAACGATGAGACTAATTTATGGATTTTTATAAATTCACCTGGAGACCAAAGTGAGGCTGAGAGCGACGACGACAGAGAGACTGAGGAAGTGATGAAGTGATTCTGAGGCTGTTCAGCTCCTGAAGACACTGAAGAAGACGACTTTAGTGGTTTTAGTGCAGGAGGAAGATGAAGATAGCCATCAGTGACTTTTCCTGGTAGCTGCTGGAGTTTTATTTCCTTAACCAGCCGTGTTACAGGAAGTGTTCAGAAAAAAGCCTCTACGGTACGTATCTGTGGATGTTACCGCTACGCATTTAATTAAAGGTTAAAACATCTTTCTGTGTGAATATCTCATGTTCCAACGTGGACACCTGCAGCCTGGATATGAACACACCTGGTTTATGTTTAAAGTCAGTGGGCGGGGCTTATATTCAGGTGCCTCAGTAGTCCAGACATTATGGTAGCTGAACATCTCTGGAGCCTGCAGGTGTCCGGTGACGATGATTAATCGTCTCGGAGTCGGAGGTCGAACATTCAGCCGTCGGATCCTCGAACACGTTTGAACCACGTTCACCTTAAAATGCTTCACTGAACATACTTCCTGTTTTTATGGCGTTTGGACTCCACCACACGTCCTCCAGCCGACTCTCGGCTCCGCCTGGCTCCTCCTCCGACCCGCCGACCCGCTGCCTCCGGCTCCTGCTGGATTGTGGGTAATTTTCTGGCCGGCTGATGCGACGGGCGCCACTAAACCGTCGTATCTGTGCTGAGAGCAGCCGATGGGCTGATAAGACTTCCGTCTCTTTGTAGACCTCCATCCTTCACTTCCAGTGAGGCCCAGAGGAGCCGAGGCCCCGAGGGACCGAGCCGGGCCGGAGGGACCGGGCCAGAGTCGCTGAGAGGCCCGGAGCCCAAAAACCCCAGAGACCAGCAGGAGTCCAGGTTCCAGTCTTTAAAGTGTTTACGTTCTGCAGCTAGCGGCTCATTTGTCACCTCAGACGGAGCACAAAGAACCTGAGATAACGTTCGAAAGTTCAGTTCAGTTTACAGACGTCTGCATCCAAACGTGGAGCAAAATGTGACTGAAAATCTAAAGAACAGTCCTCACAAGTCCTCAAAAGTCCTCAAAAGTCCTCAAAAGTCCTCACAAGTCCTCAAAAGTTAGCCGACGTTCAAGCTCGGTTCAGTTTCCAGAACCTGTTTCTGTCAGACATCAATCCGCTGCTTCTCATCAAATGTCAAGAAAACCTGAAAAAACTAAATGAAAAACGACGACTTTAAATCTCTGAAACCCACAACAGGCTGGTGGGTCCAGAACCTGACAAAAGATCAGAAAAATAAAAAAATCCAAAACGTTCACAATAAGACACAAGAGAACAAAAAACAACACAAAAGAAACCAGACTGAAGAAACTGTAGCAGAGAGACACAAACGACAGAAATGATCAACGGACGGAGACGTGACTTCACCAGAGGACACGAAGCGCCACAGAAAGAAACAAAACCGAGACTCAAACCGAGTGAAAGGTCAGAAACTGATGCTGTCAAACAGTAAGAAGGTGAACATGTGACGTCTGAGGAGCCTCCAGCTCTGGTGTTGGTTTGGTTCAAGAAAAACGAGACCTGAAAGGAAAAAATGAGACGAGAAAACACAGAAAACACAGAAAACACAGGAGATGACACCAATGAGACAGAAACAAGGAAAAACAAAACCAAACTGAAAATGACAAACAGGAACCAGAACCGTCCCCAAAGACCAGAGACGTCCAGAAGCACAGAAATGAGACACAACATGAGAAGAACAAGACAAAGAACACAAAGTGACACAAAACGAGATGAACGAGACGTGAAACGCAGCACGACAAGAAAATGAGAAGCAAAGTGAGAAAACTGAAGATGAGAAACGCCGGCAGAACCAGAACCAGAACCAGAACAATGAGACTCAACATGACAGACAGCAGGTAGAACCTTCTGGTCTCATGGTTCTGAGTCCGGCTGACAGCAGACGTCTCTGGGTTCTGTCTCCTCCTTCATGTTCTGGTTCCTCAGAGCTGCAGGACTTAGTGATGAAACCTGAACCTCAGAGAAGGACCAGGAGACAGGAACGGATCAGAGATCAGGACTAGTTGAACTTTTCATCCCTACACGGTGAGCTCACGCTGATCCTGCTATTCTGAAACGGATTCTGTCACAGTTCTACTGAGCATCAGTCGGACCGATCTGGGACATGGAGGCGCTTTGATGGACAAAACAACATCTGGCTGAACATCTGTATCCCACAGACAGGTCCAGCTGCTCAGAGATGATAATTGTGGCGCAGACAGACGGTGAAACCTGAAGCTGATAAACTGCAGCGTTCTTGGAACCTTCCCGCCCAAATGGAGCGTTTCGGCGAGCCTTTAAAGCTGCGGCTCGATAAACACCAGACGGCGGCCGGCCGTGCAGCGCGGCGGCGGGTCGCGACCCTCCGTCCTGGGAGGCCGGCTGATCCCGCCTCAGATTGGACTTCAGACGGCCGTCGCTGATGCGCTGCGTTCGCTCGTATCGCTGCTGGAAAATCAAAGCAGTTCCAAACATGTGGAGGGAAACTGTGGAAACTGTAACAACAGAGAAACGTTAGTCTGACGATAAGTGACGTCGTGTGTTTACTGGCTGACGGTCTGGAGCTCAGATCAAACACAGACGATGAACGTTAACGAGCATCAGAGCAAAATGAACTGAGTATTGATTATTACAGCAACGTCGTTCAGCAGGTTTCCACCTACACATGGAGGACTTCTTCCTCCAACATGGATCATGATCAATTTAGTCTGACCTCTTGGACACGAACTA